TTCCCCCTTAGAAGCAGGAGTTCCCTGGACACCTTCTCCAAAGCAGAAGGGGAAGACTACTCCTGATGCTATCAACGATTGGCCTCGGAGAAAGAGAGCAGTAGCCAGCACTGCTAACGCTAGCTGTGGTCAAAGCGAGAAGAATGGTGATGAGCAGAAGACAATGTCAGCAGGCAGAGAAGGAGAGGTGAAGATCTCGGAGCACTGCAGCGGCAAAGTAACAAACGCTCTTGGGGAATTTGAACTGGAAGGGATTTACAGGCTCCAGGATCAGGCATCTCCTAGTGACTCTGAACCTAGGGCTGATGAGGACTCTGCCATGGGAACTTTTGACTTGAAGTCTCGGAAGCGGGTCTTTACGTATCTATCGCCAGAGAAGGAGGAGAATAACGATGCCAAGAGATCTTGCACTGATAGATGCAACTCGGGTCTCACTGGCTTTTCCACAGATGATGGCAACAGAAGCAAGCCAAGAACGGACTCTGTGCTTCCTGAGAAACCAGGAGCATGTGCGCTCATAACTCCTGAGCAGCACAGCTCTGTAGGGGACGATGATGTCTTCCTTTTGTCAGGTAATGAAGTGGCGTGAGTGATGCTCCATTGAAATTCAGAGATGGTTAAAAATGTGGGGTAGTCAAAAATAAGAACACAACTGTTTTCTGTCGGAGTATCTGAGCGAGAATGAGGTGGAGAGGGAGAGTGGGTTGTAAATGATGTGGAAGTTACTTATGTGGAGAGGCAGATTAGATGTGAAGAGTTCATCGAGGGAGTAGTAATGATCGGAGAGGGATCAGAACTATGAAGGAGCGGGAGGCTGCAGGAATTAAGAGGAAAGTCTGAGAACTTGGGGAGGGAGGATCACAGGTGCATCCAGCTGCCATCTTGTAAATAGAACTCAAGAGTGAACAAAGGTGGTGTAAGGTAACTGCAGTGCAGAGTGGAATGCAGACTGTGGCTTGAGGAAAATGATAGCTCTTCTGTTGCAATACGTGTTGAAATTAGGCCAGGCGATTTATTTCGAGTTGTGTTGATGCCGCTCGCTGTTTCTGCCCAGCATCCAGCACTGAAGTGAACTGTCTTAAAGCTAAAGCTTGGCTGCTTCAGTGTAGACTGGTGCCTTCCGGGGTTAGTCCTGTGGATGTTGGCATTTATCAGTGCTTCAGTTCTCTCTGCTCGTGGTGGCAGGCCCATTGAAACTGGGTATCAGAAATGATTGCCTTGCTAGCAGTAATGCTGTACTGGTAGGTGTTTAAACTACCTGTTTGCTTTTGCTGTGGGTAGAGATGATTCAGCTGACCTTGGTGAAACAGGCTGTCTTGGCTCTAAGCAAGGCCTTGTGAATTTCAAACACTTCATCCGGTATTGTTCCAGAAATTACATGTTACAGGAACTGTGGCAGCTGTTGGTCTGCAGTGCTTGCGTGCCCTGAAGCATTAAGCTTCAGCGTCTGTTTCCTCTTGCAAGGGAAGGTTTGGGTACAGAGGGCAGTGTCTTGCTCACTCGACAGGTATCGCTGAGGACAGTGGGCGAACTTCAAAGCAGCGTTAGTCCATATTCAGGGCATGCAATAATAGCAGTATTTTGCCTTAAGCTGGTCCTGTAAGAGACTTTCTGTAACTACAGACCTTGTTCTTGTATTTACAGACCATCATGGTTATAAGAGTTTTCTTCCAGGACATGAGTTAAACATAGCTACTCTTCAGTTAATAGGAGTGAAGCGCTTTTCTGCTAAACCACCTAAGAAAATTAAATACGCTCAGAGCTAATTCCAGACTGTCATTTACCTTTCTTGATGCCAGAAACCCACTATGCCAGCCTAGATTTTGTTTCAGATAAGGTATTGCTTGCACTGATGGAAGTTTCGAGGTAGACCAAAGGCTGCGTATGAGACTTAACCTGAAAGCTCTCTGGAGTTGTCAGTTTGCTGCAGCGTCTCACTGTGCTTCTCCAGGCTCAACTCCGCCCGTGAAGAGCGTGCTGTCTGCTAGCAGCCTGCTGGCACTGACCCGGTCTCCACTGCTGTGCCAGGGACAGACGCCGCCGTCTCGGAGAACGCGTGTGCGAGGTACCCACCCGTGCTGTGGGGAAAGGCTGGGTGCCAGCAGGCTAGGTGTGCTCTCTGCTCGCCTGCAGCTGGAGGAGAACAAAAGCATGCTGTGCTAGGGACCGGGCTTTGGGCAGAAAGGCTGCGGCTGTATCTGCCGCTTCTGTATTCGGTGGCTCTGTCGCACACGCTTCCAAGAAATTTGGCATGAACTGGGAAGTTTGGAAGGGGGGGGAGGTAGCAATGAAGAAAGAGTAGCTTAGTAGGAAGTGCAGCTTACTGTTCTTGTTGTTACCAGTTGGTGTTTGGCTTCTTGCAGTCACCAGTGAACTTTGGCAGACTGTAGCTTTAATTTATTCTTTCTGTTTTGTAGAAGAGGAATCCGATGCCTTCCCAATTGCTGCCAACCAGGAGCTGTCTCCGTTCCACATCATGGCTTCCAGGAAGCGTCCCCTTAGCAGGACTTACTCACGGAAAAAGCTGCTCAGCTGAAGTTTGGAGCCAGAACAGTATGGGAAACCTTGCATTATCCCAGCTGTTCAACGTGTTTTAACAAGGACCTTATATTTGGTGCTGGGCTGGAGCTGTCTTGTGTTGGCAGGAGACTGGATGCAAGCATATGGCAGTGGAAATAAGGACCACTCTAAAAGTTGGTTTTTTCTAACCTCAATTGCAGCACCTCTCCATCCCTTCAAGGCCTAGCTTGGTCTGTCTGGCACTTCTCCTGCATGTGGTAGCTGAGTTGTGCAGTGAAGGTACAATTCTGCTAGGTAAAGAGGGAGAACTGTCACTTTTCTACAGCTTTCTTGTAAAATAAACTGATGTAAATTTTCATTGTGTCACTTAATCAGAAATTTGTGATGGGCGAGGGATTGGGGCTGCAGGAAGGGTGTTGGAGGTGAATGGTACAAAAGGAGCTGCCGGCTCCTGCCGTGTATCTTGCCCTGATACCAGCTGGATCCCATGTGAGTTGCATCCAGTTTGCCACAGCTTAGTGGGAAAATAACAAGCCAAATAACTGACAGATTAGTGAGTAAATTACTCAGAAATACTTGACAAATGCCAAAAGAGTACAGAGGAGGGGAAAGATAACTTGGCTGGGAACAGGGAAGGAGAGGTGTTTGGTTCTCCCTTGTAGATCACAAAGGATTTGGTGTATCTGCCCCTGGCCACTGCTGGGGGAGCAGGTGCTGATGGAGTACCATCATTGTCCTTTCCTGCAGGCTTGTGGTGAGCCAGAGAGAGACTAGCTGGGGAAACTTCCTGGAGAGATAAAACTTGATGGGATAACCGGGGATGAGAGTTCAAAGACTACTCTTTACTAAACTGAGTCACTGATTAAATAGTGACTTAGCTGCCTGTGAAACGTGTGCTTGCATTCTAACCCCAGAAGACAGCAGGAGCTGTGATCCAGTGCCTGAGACACAGCCTACAAGGGGCTAAAACTGTGCATTATCTTGGCAAGGCTGAGTTTTCTTTCCTTCAGGACAGCAATCTCTTTGTGCCCGGCAGGGTGGCGGGGAAGTCACCCCACTGCGTCCAGTGAAGGCACAGGAAGCAGAGAGCTACGAGGACAGCGTGAGGTCATCCTGAAGCCAGGCATGGCAATGCAGGGTTTGAGGGGCTAGATGGTATTGAATGGGATTTGTTTCCTGGGAACATGATGTGTTGCAGGAAAACTGACTCTTGCCCTCTTCCAAGAGAGGAGCAGCAGTGTGCTTACCAGTGACTCTTCTGCTTGGGGAAGAGGTGCACCTGCTTCAGGGGTGTAATATCTTTGTTTTTAACAGAGAAAAAAAAGCCTCCAAACTCAAATCTTGTGCCACTCAGCCATCCCCAGAGCCTTTAGTCATGTCCTCCCTCAAAGCCACAGCCCTACAGGCAAGAAGCAAGATGTAGGAGGAAGAGCAGGTGGTTCCTACTTCAGGTGCTGGCTTTCAGCTTGGTGTGTGTTACTCCTCAAATGGTAGCTGTAGGAGCTGTGCTCCTTGTGACTTCAGGCTGAAGCAGTGGCTTGCTGTTGGGGGGAGGGGGGGGTCAAGTAGCCGAGCTGCTGTTTTGCAACCCCCATGCCCTTCCTAAAGCAGGTACCTGGGCTTTCATTTCTTCCTCTGCCAGAGTTTAAGTCCTGTCCCCCCCTTCCCGAGGTGGATGGTGTCAGTGTTAAGTTGCAGAATCGCATTTAATCTCCCTTTCATCCAGACTGGAAGTTTTCCCAGGAGTAAGAAAATGCTGCTTAAAGCAGCTTATAGGCTGGAGCAGAAAATTGCACTGAACCAGCGCTGCTTTTACCCTGGATGCTTCACACAATTCTGCTGCTGTCTGGAGATGCTTCTCCTGCAGCAGCTCCATGCAGGAAGCCTACCAGCTCTGGCTGTGTGCACTTACAAAGCAGGTACTTAAACATTAAGGCAACGCTGTGACGGCAGCCAGGCTCCCACGCAGTGAGGTTTAACTAGAACTCCCTTCCTCCAGACCCAGAGTAGGTGACAACTGGAGCCTCTGACAAGTGACTGCTTCATAAAACACGCTCTGTTTTATTAGAAAAGTTAAAGTAGAAATGTAAAAAACCAATTGCTACAAAAATCTATGTACAAGTTCTGCAGGACTGCACAGCATCTCCCTCCAAGGCTAAGAAAGCCCTGCAGCAGAGGTTTCCAAACTGTAAACAAGTTTTTAGTGTTAAAGGCCAGGGTGGAAGGCATCTCCCACTTCCCAGTGTTCAAGCTGCTGAGGGTGTGGGAGGAAAGGGGTCCAGCCAGCACTGGCTAGACTGGCAGCAATGTGGGGAATGTCAGCTGATGGATGCTCATTTCCCTTACGATGAAAAGTCATGTCTTTGCCTTCCTCAGGCCTCTGAAATGTAACAGGTTTGTAGCCAGCAGAAAGGCTCTTAGGCTCCCATCAGCAGTATCTGCTCCCCTCTGCCCTTGCCAGGCAAGCGTTCAGCCTGTGTCTAGAGTGGATTTTTCCTGACGTCTATCATTGCTGGGTGGTATGGCCCTGGGGCCAGGTTTGGGCTGGCCCTGCGCAGCTCCCAACGGGGCTTGGCGGCAGGAGCGATGCTCCGTGGCGGGTGCAGCTCGTGGGGCTGCCCTGCTCTCAGCGGGTGCTCGGCGCCCCTCTGCCGCAGGTCCCCGGGGTTGTCGCTGGGCAGGGACGAACGCCTCCACGTCGACGGCAAAGGAGCGTGCACCAGGTCCCGGCTCTCGTCCCTGACCCGAGGGCTTTCTTCTGCAACGGCCAGGGGCACGGGCTGTTCCCCAAGGCTGGAGAGCTCACAGGTCCCCAGCACAGGGGGAGCTCTGTCCCCAGCCCCGTGAATGCTTCTCTCCATCCCTGCTGGGGAAGATTGGGTGGGGGTACAGTGAGATGAGTGTCGGGATCGCTACTTTTCCCATCAAAATCAGTGCCTGTAGAGCACTTGCTCAAGGCCAACGACTCGCACCCATGCTGCTCCTGGCTCCGCTCCAAGCTCTCCCCGCCACGCAAAGGAACGTAAACTCCCTTCCTTTTACCTTGGTAGGAACAGCAAAGCTCCAGCCCGGGTTTTCTCTCACCTTTGGTCTGTCCAGGATGGAGGTTCATGTTACTCAGCCTCTGGTTCAGCTCCTGGTTTGCCCACATACAACGGCTCAGCTCCTTTTCCAGCACCTGAATCCTCGCCTCGTACTGCAGCTTGCTGCTGGCCAGCCCCTCATCCATGTGCTCTACAAGAGAAAGCAAGGCCGTTTCAAGCTGCAAGCCCTGCGACAGGCAAAAGCCGTGCCGCTGCTGCCTGTTTCAGGAGCTGGGTGGGTACCGCGGCTCTGCTGGAGCAGTAGCTGCATGTTCTGCTCGTGCTCCTTCTGCTGCAGGGTGAGCTGCCGGTCCATCTCCAGGCGCTGGCGTTCCACGGCTGCCTCCAGCCAGTACACCAGCTGCTGCTGCTCCTCCAGCTGCATCTCCAGCTCCGAGAAGGCAATGTGCTGCCTGTGCTGATCCTCTCGCAGCGTCACCACCTGGCCAGGGCCCAAGAGCAAGAAACATCTCAGCTCCTTCAGAGCCAGGAAGCTTTCCCGCATCACCAAGCCTGATGTAGCTTTTTTCGTACAACATACAAAGGTTAGTAGTTCTGGGATGTCACAGCTGCCTCGCAGAGGGAAGAGCAAAGTGTGGCTGCGCTAATTTGGCAGAGCAACTGCAGGGATCCGTGCATCCTATGAGTAGCTAAGCCTCTCTCCCAGGTGGTGTTAGGACAGGTGGGGATCATGGTGCTGTGGCTTTGTGGCCTGACTTTACAGGGCAAAAGTACAGGAGGAGGCAGGCAGAAGGCTTCAGGCAGAGGAAAACAAGAGTTTGGTCAGATACCACGGCTCTCGCCAGCACAGAGGGCAGTTGTCTCCCACCTTGTCAAAGTATTTGCAGAGCAGAGCTCGGGTCTCGGAGGAGGAGAGGTAGCTGAGCTTGGCCATGAGGTTCATCTCGCACTGGGACAGCAGGCTGGCCGAGGCCCGGAGGACTCGCTGCCTGCACGTGATGGACTCATTCTTGTACTCGATGGCTGCATCCAGAGCCTCAATTGCCTCATCCAGCTGGAAAAGGATCCGTTCTTCCTGCCAGAGCAGAGCTGCAGTTACTCGGCAGCAAAGCGTTCTCTCCGTCTCGCCCTGCCCTAACCTCCCTCGTCATCTCAGCAGTGCTGTCACGAATCTGGAATACGCACAGCATGGGGACGGGGAGGAGCACGTGCTAATGACCCCATGCTCAGGTCTTGCTTCTCTCTCACTACCTCATGCTCTGGCAAGCAGAGCAGCCCAGCCTAAGAAGAGGTACCTCTGGGGACAGCAGGGTGCCCTGACGCAGCTTGTTGTCGAGCTCCAACCTCTGTTTAAGCAGCTGGTCCTTCTCCTGGCGCAGGTTGTTGATCTCCTGGCGGATCTGCTGCTGGTCGTGGGCACTGCTGTGACGCAGCTGCCCGTTCTTCTCGGTCAGCTCCTTTTCCAGGTGCTCCAGGCGGCTGGACACACGCACGATGTCATCCGTCAGGGCCTGCAGCAGAAGATGCTCAAGCGGATCTGCTCTAAAGGCGAGTCAGACCCCCAGCCCCTTTCTTCTCTCCCTCCGTAGGCAAAATGGCTCCACAGGCACACCTACGCCAAGGGCTATCAAACCAACTAGGTCAGAGGCACAGCGTGTGCAGGCTCTCCTGTAGAAGCAGATCTGCTGTCTGCTTTCCAACACCATCTCATCCTGGCCTGCAGCCCTCTGCCAGACCCAGGATGGCACCCAGGTCTTCCAGCCTCTCACCTTGGCTGGAAATCAAACAAGGGGCTGAGGTGTCACACTCTTGTCCTACCTGGCTGGAGCGCAGTCGTTTGCTCTCCAGGCCGTTCTTCTCCTGCAGCTGAGCTTCCTTTTTGGCCACGATAGCTTCCCGCTTCCGCAGCTCATCTTCCAGCTCGTCCAGGGCCCGGCGCTGCTCAAGAACTTTATCCATCTCCATATCCAGCCACTTCTTCTGTTCCTCAATTTTCTGATGGAAGGAGAGGCCAAAGGCATGTGCATGCGTGCAGACAGCAGCAGCAACGCCCAGGACTGCGAGACTAACAAGCAATGGGGTTGAGATCAGAGAGGGAGTCTCGAGCCCGCCTCTGCTAACCCCTATAGCCCAGACTTCACTGGTTTCATCCTTCCAGCTGCTGCAAGAGACAGAGCTGAGCTAAATCCACAGCTGCCAAGGAGTCCTTGGGGGTTGCATCTCCCACCACCCTTCTGCTAACAGGCAAGATTTCACAGCTTCTTTACCAGTGCTAGGATTTAGAAGAGAGAATCCTGGTCTTGGGGGTAAGACAAGATCTAAATCCTCCACTGCTAGACACAAGTGGCATTACGGACTGTCCTCCTCAAGGGTGGCAGGATGGGCTATGTCCCGTCTCAAGCTGAAGCCCCTGCTTCCAGGCATCCCCCATCAACCAGCAGTGCCCCTTGAATGCGAAAGAGGGGGCAGGGTCGCTCTGCCTGTACCTGCTGCTGCTCCAGGCTGATCACGGAGCCGTTGCTGCCGCTCCGCAGCTTCCTCTGGAAAGCTGCTATTTCCTCTGTTTTGATGCGCAGGATTTTCTGGTGCTGCTCGTGCTTCAGTTCCAGTTCCTGTACGGGAAGGAGCAGCTGTGAGCCTGGAGAAGCTGTTTGCCCTAGGGCCAGGGACTGAGAGACAGGTGATGTTCTCTACCAGCTCTTCAAAAAATCCTCTGTCCAAGCCAATCACAGACCCCATCAGCACTCCCCTTGCCTGACCACCAGCTTCCAGATCCCACCCATC